TACTTGCAGATATGAAAAAAATTGTCTATTTTTTCCTTTTTTCAAACAACCGCAATTAGCTACAATTTATGAAATCTCAAAGATTATTTTTTTGTCATGTGAGATATGTTGAATCGAACTATGATGCAATGCATGACTGTTATATTTAGCAATTCTTAAAGTGTTGTACCTATACAAAATCCACATCTTTAATTGCTAAAATACGAACACATGAATCTGTCACATACAAAGATACATTGCGGGTTCCAGTAAATGTTCAACCAAGCCTCTTTCGTTACTCCTATTCTCTGATTCCTAAAATAAATATTAAAGAACATTTGCCTTCTTTGTTTAAATAGTAATTGTTAGATAAATGAATTTAAGCATATGTAAAAAAAAAAAAAATAATCATAAAAAAAATAACTATTTTTAAAAAATTAAATCATGTTACATTATAAAAAGAACTTAATTCGCTAATAACCAATATTTGCCCCCCAAATCAAACTTTGATGGAGATATATTATATTAAGTTCTTAAAAAGGGGAGTATATGCTGACTTCAAAGCACTGAATATTTTCATAAGTAATGACGCCATATGTACGTAATGACGTCACAAACATGACGTAAATTTCAGTTTTTTATGAATTTTACAGAAAAATGTACATATTTCGTCGTTATTTTGAGTAAAAGTCACCGAGCGCATGTGTGTTCAGGATCAATATTTTGATATAATGTGTAGAATGATAATATCAATGAAATATGTCAATATTGTTCCTGAACACACATGCGCTCTATAAATTTTAAAGCTAAAATTGTTGAAATTTTGTCCATTTTGTCCTCTTTCTGAAAAAAGATATAAAATCGGACTAGTTTGTGACGTCATAAAAACAAAAATTGTGAATACACTGCTTTGACACTATAATATTTTCTGTTAATTTATATTTCTCATACAATTTATTGAATTCAGCACATTTCAGAAAGTTTTCAAAATTTGACTTTTGTGGGGGCAAATATATGTAATATACCGCATATAGTTCTTTACGATGTGACGTTTAAATTAAGTCTGTAAAAATACCGTTATAACTAATGTGAAATTGGTGAGCATTTTATTGATGGTGCTTCCTACTATACGGGTTTATGTGTCTCGGGGTATAAGGATGCATATTAATAAATACTTTTTTATTATTATTATTAATTTTACACTTCCACATGTACATATAGAATAATTTTCATCATTTGGTACACAATAACATCGGGTATACACACAATATAGAGTTATGTTTATAGAATGTGAAAGGTGTTTTGATAAAAAAAAAGACAAAGAAAAAGGGGGGAGGGGTCAGCAAGAAAAAACCTTTCTTCCATTACAAATAATACAAAAAAAAAATCAAAAGAAAAATCACTCAAATAAATTATAGGATGTACATGTATATATACGCTTGTATATGTAACTCAATTACTTACAATGTATCACAAATATTTTGCCAATGTCTTTCATATTCTTCAAATTTACAATTCTTCATCAATAAAAATGTTTCAATCAAAATTCTATCTGTGATCCTCTTTAATACAGCTTCAACATCTATTCTTGGAACATTCTTATATTTACTGGCAAAAATAAATTGTTTTACAATAAGTATTAAAAGATTTTGAAAGAACGAGGGCGCTTTTGATTGGCATTCGGCAGGAACCTGGGCGTAATTGAAAAGTGAAAATTTTATTGACATGTCACATGAAAGAAAGTGGGCGCACTAGATAGGCAGTCGGCAGGAATCATTGACACAAAACAATTCAGATTTAAATGTCCTAGCACCATGTAGTTTTAATGCGTATCTTATACATCTTTTAGAAAATGCATGGGAATGGATTTCTGTCTTATGTTTCTTTATTTGTAAATAATTTTTTTCAATTACAATGTAAAAGGTGTCAAGAAAGATAAATTACCTAGTATATGTTGGTAAACTTTTCCCGAGTACCATGAGATTTGGTGCTGAGCGAAGCGAGGCACCAAATCGAATGGCGAGGGAGAAGTTTAACAACATACTTAGTACATGCTTCACACGAGAAATTAAGCCCTTTGTGTCTCTGTCTATTTCATTACAAATCTTTGTGGGTTTCTTATTATTCAATCAAGATAAGGATATAGTTTGACCCTGACTATTGCCATTTTGTACAGGCCCAGATGTGATAATTATATCCTCGGGGTAATATCTACCTGTCAGGTGACGGTCTACAGTGAATAGTTTTCAAACACAATAGAGGTTCAATTCTATAGATTCAAAAATCTCTTTAAGAAGATAGTCATGTCATTTTGATGGAGATAAGTCAGGAGCATTTTATTTTTGTGGACATCATTAAGAAAACGAAAATCAGGGAAAGAACGGTTTACGGTTGGATATACATGTACACTACTTGAACAATATAGGACGGTTCCAACGTATTTGAACTTACTTAAACAGATCATATTTAGACTTTTTGCTGTCTCCCGATCAGTCCATATCTTTTAATTGGAATCAAAGAATAAATTAAATGGTAAGTAAAATTTTATTGTTCTCACTTCTCAATGCGATAATTCTGATTAAAGTGCCAATGTAAATGGGAAATCCTAAATATTCAATCAATAACTAGACATTTCTTAAATTTCTCTTTTACTTGTGATTTTAATTAATTTTTTTCATGTTTTAATTTTGGCTAAAGTTGAATAATTCAGGAAGAAAGACAGGGGAAGATAAAGAGATTTTTCTTCCTGTACTAATTATGTTCCCCAAACGAAGTTGGGGAACATATTGTTTTTACTCTGTTTCTTATTATTATTAAGGTCTTCCGTTTCAGACGGAAGACCTTATAGTGATTCTACTGTTTCTTTTTCTTTTTCTTTTTCCTATTATTATTTTTGTTCCCTTTTTAAAAGCACGATTTCTCAGAGATGACTGGACAGATTCTCATGAAATTTTCAGGGATGATAGAGAGTAAAAATATCTTTCAGTTGCAGTTTTCAGTTTTTCAAAATTCACTTCCGGTCGTCAGATATGTCCGATTTCCGCTTTTTTCAAAAAAGTTTTGTCTGAGTCATATCTCAGAAACGGTAAAAGATGAAGACACCAAACTTATATGAGTAATAGATCATGATTAGTAGGCATGTCCATTTGGGTTAAGATCGTCCGCCGTCACTTCCGGTCGTCACAGGAAGTGATCAAAGAAATCAAAAATTTCAACTTTTCATTTATGAAACTTTTTTTGCATCACATTATAGCATCTTATTTGTAGTTTTGAAATATGTCAGTCCCAACGGAAACAAAAACGACAACTTCCGGTTATAAGAGAAAAACTGCATTTTTTCAGTATTTTTGTTTCCCATAAATATTGTTTATGCATTAAGAATTTGTAATGAATTTTGAATATGTTATTTAGACTGCAAATATCTCCAGTAACGTCAAATATCTTTGTAAAATTTACTTCCGGTCGCGTGATTTCCTGTCCTGAAAATGAGAAGTTATCATAGCTAGATCTCGTAAACGGTAAGAGACTAAGACACGAAACTTATACAAGTGGTAGATCTTGATGAGTAGGCAAATTCAGTTGGGATAGGATTGTCCGCCGTTACTTCCGGTCGTCACAGGAAGTGATAAAAAAATCGAAAATTTCAACTTTTCATTTATGATTTTTTTTTGCATCTCCTTATAGCATCTTATTTGTAGTTTCGAAATATGTCAGTCCCACCGGAAACAAAAACGACAACTTCCGGTTATAAGAGAAAAACTAAAGAATTTGATTATTTTTCTCTCCCATAAACATTTGTTATAGATAAAGTGTTTAAAATGATTTTTGGATATGTTATTTAAACTACAAATGTCTATAGTAACTTCAAATATCTTTGTAAAATTCACTTCCGGTCGCCTGATTTCCTGTCCTCAAAATGATAAGTTTTAATAGCTAGATCTCGTAAACGGTAAGAGATTAAGACATCAAACTTATAGGAGTGGTAGATCTTGATGAGTAGGCAAAACCATTTGGAATAAGATCGTCCGCCGTCACTTCCGGTCGTCACAGGAAGTGATCCAAGAAATCAAAAATTTCAAATTTTCTCTTTGGAATATTTCTCGGCATCACAGTATTGAATCTAATTTGTTGTTCTGATATATGTCCGCCCCACCAGAAACAAAAACAGCAACTTCCGGTTATGAGAGAAAAACTGCATAAATTGATTATCATACTACTCCATAAATTCCTTTTATAGAAAGAGTATTTGAAATGATTAATAGGACATGTTATTCAGACTGCAAATGTCTAGAGTAACTACAAATATCTGATTAAAAATTGACTTCTGGTCACGTGATTTCCTGACCTCAAATTGAGTAGTTAACATAGCTAGATCTTGGTAATGGTAACACATAAACATACTAAACTTATATGAATAATAAACCTTGAAGAGTGAACAACAGATATAGGGTATAATGCCTCCGCCGTCCTTCCGTTTGTCACAGATATGATTTGAAAAATCGAAAATTTCAACTTTTTTCTTTTCAATTTCTTGTTTGCATTACATTACTGCATCTAATTAGTAGTTTTTAAATATGTCAGCTCCTTCGAAAACCAAAAAAAAAATAAATAAATAAAAAAACAACCACTTCCGATTATCAGAAATAAAACTACTCCAAGGTCAAAAGGTCATGGTCATAGGAAAAGAATTAAAATTGCTTATATATGCCAAATGACCTAAACCTTTGACTTTGATGTTTGACCTTGACCTTTGACCTTGACCTTTACCCTAGGGAAAAAAATTTTGTATTATATTTAGTTTTATACAGCTTCAATTGTTATAGTCGAGTTTAAAAGGTTTTTGGATGACCTTGACCTTTGACCTCGATAAATTACCTTAAACTTTGACCCCATTGACTCAAAGGTCGCAATCAAGCTTGAGTCCGTGGAGGTATTTACATCTCTCACTTTCACAAATGCCTATATATCCCCCCCCCCTTTTTTTTTAAAAATCAATAGCAACGTAGAAAATTTTTGTACAAATGACACCACATATGGACATGAAATTTAAGGACTGCAGTAGAAGACACATCAAAGAAAGTGCGGTGAGAGCCTATCGGTGAGTCTCTGAAGTATATAATGAAATTCTAATGAGTGTCGCCAAAAACTACATTTTTTCTGTCTGAAATCTAGGTGCTGATGAGCATAAAAATGAATTAAAGCTTGTATTGGTTATTTCTTCAGTTTTTGTCAATAGCATTCGATTCTCCTGCTCTAATACGAAATTTTAATATAGGTTAGATATACTGCAGTTATCTCGCTTTGTACGATGCAGTGTTGAGAAAACGCCTGTGACTCACAAATCATGTCAACAAATTACATGTAATCTGCCAAGTAGAGTGCACATGTACCAAAAATGCACCCCGGGACTACCCAGATTTTGGTTTGTTTTTCCGAGCAGGGTAAAACTCCCAGTATTCTGTAACTCAGTCTATGCCCTTAAGTAAATTCACCAATTGATATGGGGTCATTCACCTTCTTCTAAGGCTTACGGCTTTTCAGCTGAATTTCCTCTGTAACTGACCACGTGTATTAGTTTCGCATTTATAGCTCTGTATATGCTAAGTGTCATAGTAATTCCTACATGTTGCACATCATTTTTTTTTTCAGCAAGTACTCTGATTCACTGCAAATGTGTCTCATAATTATTCTAATCACTTTTCTACATCAAATATCTCATCAAACAGGGAATATCTCAGTTTTTTAAGAAATTTGACCGGGACTTTACTACAAAACTATTTCTTTCACTTCGAAACTATTTCCTTCAAACTTAAAATAATAAGCTTACAAAATACCTTAAATATTGTGGAATTTGGTGGCTCAGTGGTTAGCGTGTTCGACTTTCATACTAATGGTTTTGGGATCGAGCCCAGATGGAGGAATTATTTTTTTCTGCATTTTGTTGTTTTTTTTTTTTTTAATAGAAAAATATCCTCCTTACAGATAAATAGAGAAGAACGGAAGACCTTATTTGTTGCTGAAGCAACAAGAGTTTCTAGTTAAGGTCTTCCGTCTTCAGCGGAAGACCTTCTTGTTATTCTTAGGTTTCTTTTTCACTTTTATTATTATTAAGGTCTTCCGTTTCCAACGGAAGACCTTTCTGTTATTCTTAGGTTTCTTTTCCACAGTTTTTTTCTTTTTTTTCTTACCGATTTTGTGCACGCGAGTTCTCAGAAACGGCTAGCTCGATTTTCATGAAACTTTCAGGGCTGATGGAACATGAAAAAATATAGACATATATTTTTTCATTTTGATGACATCACTTCCGGTTTCGAGATTTTTGCATTTTAGTGAATTTTTGAGGGTTAGTTTGTCCGCGAGTTTTCTCGAAAACGGCTTAAGATAGAAACTTGAGATTTTCAGTGAAAATAGAGCAATAAATGTAGTTGTGCGGAACTATTTCATATTCACCGAAATTGCTGTGTACGGAAGCTCGTTATGGCCAGAAAATAGTCCTATCGCGAATTTCAAAAATTTTAACACCTTTTCAACGATAACTTTTTACCTAGAAATATTTTGTTAAAACATGTATAACAAAAGAAGTGTAGAATTCCAAGATCTTTCAAATGTTATCTAGAAAAAAGGGCTGGTCCCTAAAATTAAGGGCCTAGCGGGGTCGAAGGTTTTTCTTTTATATCTCAAAAAGTATTTAGAATTTGTAATACATCAAAGAAGCAAAGTTGTTCAAAATGTTGCGCTTTATTTGTTGGCGTCGTCAAAATACGTCCGGCGATGTCACTTCCGGTCAAACCGGAAGTAGTCAGAAAATGCATATTTTCGTTCTTGACATGTTTTAGGTAATATATGTTAATGGGAGCATAAAACTTAATTTTCCGTCCGTCGTCGTCACTTCCGGTCAAACCGGAAGTAGCAAAAATGACTTATTTTTGCATTAATTAACATGGATTTAGAGGATTTAAACCATTTGGGGGCATTATTACTCATTTTTGTGAAAGATGAAAGTTACTTCCGGTCAAACAGGACGGAAGACCTACTCGTTGCTTTGCAACGAGCTTTGCTCTAGTTATTATTCTTTTTTTTCTTACTGATTTTGTGCACGCGATTTCTCAAAAACGGCTCGATGGATTTCCATGAAACTTTTAGGACTTATGTAACATCACTTGAACCTTAAGCATTTTTTTCCGATTTGATGACGTCACTTCCGGTTTGGAGATATTGTCGATTTTGTGATTTTGGAAGGGTCAGGTTGTCTCCAGACTTTCTCAATAATGGCTCAAGATAGAATCATGAAACTTTCAGGTATAATAGATCAAAGTCTATAGATATGTATAATGTATTTCATTTTGATCGGAAGTGCCGCAAGTCGGCGCTCGCTATGGCCCGAAAATGGTCGTATCGCGAATTTCAATATTTTTAACACCTTTTCCACGATATCTTTTTACCTGGAAATATTTTGTTAAAACGTATAGAACAAAATAAGTGTAGAATTTGGCGATCTTTCAAATGTTACCTTGCAAAAAGGGCTGGCCCCTAAATTTAAGGGCCTAAAGGGTCCGAACGTTTTTTCTTAATATCTCAAAAAGTATTGAGAATTTGTAATAAGTCAAAGAAGCAAAGTTGTTCAAAATGTCAAGCTCAGTCTATTGCAGTCGTCAAAATACATCCGGCGTCGTCACTTCCGGCCAAACCGGAAGTAGTCGGAAATCGCGTATTTTTGCCGTTCTTGACAAGTCTTTGGATAACATATGTCTCTGGGAGTATTAAACTTAATTTTCCGTCCGTCGTCGTCACTTCCGGTCAAACCGGAAGTAGCCAAAATGAGCTTATTATGAAGGTTTAGATGCAAAATTAAAATTCCAAAGTCACTAGAGACGACATAGCACATTGCTTTATTGTGTTGATGTCACTTCTGGCACTTCTGGTCAAAACCGGACGGAAGACCTACTCGTTGCTTTGCAACGAGCTTTGCTCTAGTTATTATTATTTTTCTTCTTCCTGGGAAAATTTTGTCCACGAATGATCTTGTAAACTACACATCCGACTTAGGTGAAACCTTTTTAGGGTTGGTAGGCATGTAATGTAGAGTTGCCGAACAAAGGTCATTTTGCGCGCACGTGCCTGCAAGAGCGAGCACGTGCAACACTTGAAATGACTAATATAATGTATATTGCCGTAACTTTTCTATTTTTTGATGAAATGTTTTGAAACTCATAATGTAAGGATATATCAGTAGCATAGACAATATGACATGGTCAAAATAGCAAGATCTCACGTGCATGCACGTGCGCTTCACTCTGATTGGCTGAAACTTAAGTCTCAATATCTTTCTTGTTTTTTGATAAAATCCTTTGAAATTTTGAACATAGTCATGCATTAGGGAGATCTACACCATGATATATAAGAATTATCATGAAAGCACGTTCATGCATGTGTGCTGGTAAGAGCGCGCACGTGCAACATGTGACATTACCAATATAATGGATGAAGTCATAACTTTTCTATTTCTCGATGGAAGTTTTTGAAACTCGCAATGCATGGATATATTAGTAGTATAGACAAGATGGCATGGTCAAAATAGCAAGATCTCACGCGCATGCAGGTGCGCTTTGCTCTGATTGGCTGAAACTAAAGTCTTAATATCTTTCTTGTTTCTTGTCATAATCTTTTGAAATTTTGAACGTAGTCCTACATTATGAAGATCTACAGCATGATATATAAAAATTTTCATGAAAGCATGCGCATGCGCGCGTGCTGCAACCTGATTGGCTGAAACTTTAAATGGCTGTATCTCCTTTGTTTATAGACGAAAAGCTTTGAAATTTAAAACATAGTCATGCATTAGGATATCCTAAAATATAATATAGAAAAAAATTCATGAAATCACGCGCATGCACGTGTGCTGCAATCTAATTGGCTGAAACTTCATATGGCTATATCTCCTTTGTTTTTTGACAAAATGTTTGGAATTTTAAAATATAGTCATTCATTTAGATATCCTTCAATACGATAAAGATAAAAATTTATGAAATCACGCGCATGCATGTGTGCTGCAATCTGATTGGCTGAAACTTCAAATGGCTACAACTCCCTTGTTTTTCAACCAAACAGGATGGGATTCAGAACATAGATAAATATAAGGGACTCCTACAAGAAGGTGTAGTCATTATGCACGTGAAATGAGTAAAATTAAAAATACACTCGAATGAGTGTATTTTTTACGAATGAGTGTATTTTTTAATACTTTAGGATTAAATGCTTTGATAGTAAGCATATCAAAATTTTAGATAGTGTAGACAAGATGATATGGTCGTTACGCACATGAACACGTGTGCAATACCTATTTTTAAATATATTTTGTATTTTTCTGGGAAGACCTTGATTAAGTCTAAATTCCATAAAGTATTTCTTATTTGATAGAGATTACAGGGAATATGGCACCAAAAGGGAGTTGGGGAGCGTTTGGGGAACATCTGTAACGGTCCCCGTTACAATTAGCACTAGTTTATGTAACTATGTAGATTTTTTCGGCTATGTAGAATATCAGGTCCATTATTCATTGTCTGGTGACCTTGCCCCTTGTCCTCAATTGTAATTATCTATCATTGGTAATGATTTGCTCAATAATTATGCACACAATGGCAGAGTCGCCCAACCATAAAGCTTGGGCTTGGGGTGTACCAAGTGATTTGGTAGCAGCAAAAATCCTTTGTTCGAGGTGTGAAACATGTACTAATGCTGGATACATCAGCTGTATATTTACATGTAACAGAAAATAATAGAAGTCTAACACTATATAATTTTGGTGTTCAGTTTTCAAATGCACTGAAAATATTGAATGTAACAGAAAGATCGAAGTTGATAGTTTTTTTTAATATATTCAATATTTTTGCATCAGGTGTAACTTTGTACAAGTTCATGTATGTTTATTTTCATTTGAGAACGTTGGCACTATAAACAACAAAATGTGAACTCATTGAAAAATAAAACAATTAATGTAAAATAATTTATAAAACATAATTTGCTACTTTATTCAAGGAGTATTTAAAATTCAAAAATTTCAAGGTCAAAGAAAAATAAAATAAAA